GGGGAAGGAGAATTGCCTGAATAAAGGTGGTGGTGAATGAATGTGACGCATATGCCCACCTGGCAGGAGAAAATGAGTAAAAACCGTAAAAAAAAAAAAAAAAAAAAAAAAAAAAAAACTGTTCCAAATTAAAATTTCTTATCTCAGTAATACATTTCTAGAAAATAAAGGATAACATACTGTGAATAGTGATATACTTTTCCCAGCTTTGCTTATGCTTCACATTAATTTAGAAGGATGTTTATAACTTTTATAATAATTTTATTTTCTCTACAAAAGTTAGTTTGGCCAGGCATGGTGGCTCATGCCTGTAATCCCAGCACTTCGGGAGGCCGAGGCGGGCAGCTCACAAGGTCAAGAGATCGAGACCATCCTTGCCAACATGGTGAAACTCCATCTCTACTAAAATACAAAAATTAGCTGGGCGTGGTGGCCCGTACCTGTAATCCCAGCTACTTGGGAGGCTGAGGCAGAAGAATCGCTTAAACCCAGGTGGTGGAGGCTGCAGTGATCCAAGATGGCACCACTGCACTCCAGCCTGGCAACAGAGCAAGACTCCGTCTCAAAAAAAAAAAAAAAAAGGCCAGGTGCAGTGGCTCACACCTATAATCCCAGCACTTTGGGAAGCCGAGGCAAGTGGATCACAAGATCAGGAGATTGAGACCATCCTGGCCAACATGGTGAAACCCCATCTCTACCAAAAATTAGCTGAGCATGGTGGCGTGTACCTGTAGTCCCAGCTACTCAGGAGGCTGAGGCAGGAGAATCACTTGAACCCAGGAGGCAGAGGCTGCAGTGAGCCGAGATTGCACCACTGCACTCTAGCCTGGGACAGGCTCAAAAAAAATTTTTTTTTCTGTCTAAAAAAAAAAAAAATAGCTGGGCATGGTGGCATGTGCCTATAGTGCCAGCTACTCAGGAGGCTTAGGTGGAAGGATCACTTGAGCCTGGGAGGCAGAGGTTCCAGTGAGCTGAGATGATGCCACTGCATGCCAGCCTGGGACAGAGTGGGACCCTGTCTCAAAAAAAAATTTATTTTATGTATACTTAGCAACATTATTTCAATAACAGAGGGTAAGAAAAAAACAATTACTATTTTCTAGTTTGCTAGCTTTGTAGAATTTTGAAAAAAATATTTTTATTAAAAATGAGCTGTGCAAATTTTTTTTTTTTTTTTTTTTTGAGATGGAGTCTCACTCTGATGAGATCTTGGCTCACTGCAACCTCTGCTTCCCAGATTCAAGCAATTCTCCTGCCTAGGCCTTCTGAATAGCTGAGATTACAGGCATACACGACCATACCCGACTAATTTTTTGTATTTTTAGTATAGACGGGGTTTCACTATGTTGGTAAGGCTGGTCTCAAACTTCTGATCTCAAATGATCCGCCTCCCTCAGCCTCCCAAAGTGCTGGGATTACAGGTGTGATCCACTACCGCGCCTAACCCCAATCTGTACACATTTCTTTACTCTTATCATTTGCTCAAAATGATTGTCTTATTTAAAAATAATTAGTAGTTCCCTGGAGGTTTCTTTGAGTGTTTTGTTTTCCCTTGAAGGATATGGCTGATATACAGTTGAGAGGAAAATATTTAACATCTGGAATAGACTTATTCCAAAGAAACTTGATATGAGTGTGAGGTTAGAAAAACATGAATTCCAGTGCCATTAGTTTCTTGAGAAGCTTTTTTCCCCTATATTCTCCAGTCAGTGAACACCAAGTTCTAATGTCAATTGTTAAATCATTTAACTCCCAAAGACAATTATTGTACTTACTTGATCTTCAAATTGCAATTATTCAAAAAGTTATCTTTCCATAGACTTTCCAAGTTTTGAATTTTAAACAAATTAGGCATATGAAACATACTCCCCCTACTGATCTAATATATTCAGTGCCTTTTTAAAAGTTTCTTTAAGCAGAGGATTGAGAAGCATCCTAATTTTCTTTAGCAGTTTTAACAGTTACAGGAGTCATTTTGTATTATTTTAATGTAAATTTAAATCAATATTTTCTTTTTTTTTTAAACCCACCGGATTTCATAAATCAATATTTTCTATATTATGGATTCCTTAAAGCTGTCACTAGTCAGTATTATTATCTGAATATTTCTGATTTCCAAAAAGGGAACATTGAGGCCCAGAAAAATTAAGGACTTGTTGAGATCAGGATTAATCAACCAAGTACTTCCCTTTTTAGCTGAAAAATCTTTTCCATTAGATTACAGTACTTCCTAACAATGCTGTTTGCAGGCTGGTCTCTAATTTGTCAAAAACAGTATCAACTCTTGTATTAGCACTGTTAATGACATGGTAATGTTTGAATATTTAACATTTTCATTGATGCTTATTCTCAGTAATCAACTACCAAATATTTTTAGAATTAACATAGACAAGTAGATAGAAAACACCTTCCTTTGTTTCCCTTAGCATGGTGTTAGGACACAGTAAGCATTCATTTATTTAGTGAATGAATATTATTGCTCTCATCTCTATTCTGCTTCATTGAAGATTTGTTTTTACTTAATGGCAGAACAATGTGGCTCCATGTCTTATCAAAAATTAAAATGCTTCCCTCAGGTTGTGACTTTACTAGGCAAAATGGAACGTCTTCGGAGCTCTCTTCTTCATGCCAATATCTCTACTGCTCTTGATAGACACTTGGAGTCTATTCACATTGTACAGTCACGTAGAAAGGATGAAATTGTTAATGCTTCCAATCGGCAAAGGCAAGGAGTTCCTAGACGTCAAGATGACAGAGGTACAAATATTAATGCATATTCTTTTGATAAGTCAGTATGATAATTTAGGTATTGATGAAATGAGATTCTGAGGTTGAATGGTTAGATTTCTAAAATTAACACTTACCTATAGAATAAATTGGTAAATAATCTCCACATTATTTACTCCAAAAGTATTTCCATTTTATTTTGTCTATTATAACTGTTTCAAGATAGTCTGTGTTCTACTCAAAGTATAGTCACTATCATACAAGTCAGAAATAAAGTATCAATACCTTTAAATATTTTAATGATAAAGGACAGGACTTTGAGTCAATCAATAACTTTTTTTTTTTTTTTTAACAAAAATAGTAGTTGGTCATTTAGTAGCAAGAGCACTGGATTTTGTAAGATTTAACAGGCATTTAAATGGTATTTAATATGAAATGACCCTGAATGTTTCTTTTACAGATGTTTTTGCCCTTGCTTCAGCAATTAAAGAGATGTGTGTGGCTACTCGGAAAACACGCACTACCCTGTGGTGTGCACTGCAGATGACCTTGCCAAAAACAGCCAGTACAGCTGATGTGGTAAAGGCTTTACAAAATACAGTAAACTGTGAAGATAAAGTTCCTGAAAGCATAAATAGTAGCAATCCAATGAACCAGAGAGGTGAAACAAACAAACATTAAGGAAATGCCAGCAGAAAGAATAAAAAGCTGATAAATATATCAAGACATGCTAAAAATTTTTTAATGAACTTGTCAAACTTTAGGTATGTTTTCTTTCAGATTTAAAGTTAATACCAATACCTTAATGAAGTCTAACTTCTATTTAAAAATCTTTTATATGAATCAGATATAGTTTTAAGTGAACTCAAAGGTACAGTTGACTACTCAGAGTTCTGAGTAGTCAGGTAACAAGTTTAAGTAAATTAAATATTTCCTAACAACTAAAATATGCTTAAACCCATTCTGTAGTGCAGGTAAATGCAAATGTGAAATTCTTATAGGAGATAAGTTTCATTTAGGTCTGTCTTAGTAAGTATAATTCCAAATAATGAACCTAAGTAACTGTAACCCAATTATGGCTACAGCCTAGTAACCAAGACAAGTTTTGATTGTGATATAAAATTTTTTCCTTACAAAACTGGATAATACCTAGGGAACAAAGGAAAATATGGATAAACCCAATATTCATGTAAAAATTTAATATTTAAAATACTACCATATTTATAAATTTGAAATATTAACGCCTAAGTATATGGAGGGAGATGCATCTGATTCTCCTAAATTAATGATAAAAGTGCCTGTGTAAAAACCATGCAAGTTACTGAATATAAAACCTGTTCAGATCATTTGTGTATATTCTTTAAAATTTAATTATATTATCAATTATTAAATGTTTCCCATTTTAAAGTTATTTAAATTGAATCATAAAACATTTCCTTTATCTGGATATTTTAGACTTGATGCAGTAACTAAAATAATGACTACTGTTTTAATACCCTTAGTTTGCTGCCTTTTATGAGGGTATCACGAAGTTCTAAGATGTATTTTTTTTAAAGGTTAATCTTTAGTTTAGTTTGCAGTTGGTTAGTGTATATTTTGTGTAGTTGTGTTCATTAGTTTGCTTCTGTATTTTTTAAAAAACATTATTGAAAGCTTAGCTTTTTCTGTTTCTCATCACTTAGTATCTTTGTATGGAACTCGAGTAATTTATTCATTGATATGAAATGTTGGTATTATGTGACTCAGAAGATCTTGGGTTTTAACATTTCTCGCATGAGTTAAACTATAATGTACTGATGAAATTTAATTGAAATATCCTTGACTAGAAACACTGATGTTTTAAATGTTAGTGTTTTTCTTAGTTTTAGAAATCCTGGTATTAAAAAAAAAAAGAGTGTAATCATACCACATAAATTTTCTTTAGATGATGTGCAGAAGAAACTGATTGAGAATGCAGGAGTAACTGTAGGGAGAAACATTTTGATCACTGATAAGCCTTAGAACTACCCAGATGAATTACTTTGAGGGTAGTCAAATAAAATAGATCACCTCACCACAGTCACTGCATAGAAAGTGGTTAAGTTTAACATAAGATATGTTGGATGTTATGAAAAAAATACTGTACTGAATTTAGTCTCTCAGGAAAAAAAATAAATTACTTTGTTGAAGACATTTGGTTTCGTTTTTCTAAATTTATATTAGTTCTTAACCTTAAGAGTCACTCATATCAGAAAGTCAAATGAATTTCATTTAAGAACTTATGCTAAATTTTAGACTTCATTATTAACACACAAGTAATAATGTTGGTTTATAAATCAATGCCATTTAGATATCCATGGATCTAACCTGATCTCCTTAAAAGAATGAAATGTTTGCTCTATCTTTATGCTAATGTAGGTAAACCAGCATAAAAATTTTAGAGACGCTTTTACATGATACTAGTCAGAAATGAAATACCAGTCCATTAATAAGAACCAAACACTTAACAAAATTCTTTGAAATATCACCCAATAGATAATAGGTTATCTATCAATCAATCATATCACCCAATACATAAATTTTTAATTAGTTGGTTGTCCCTTTCAATGGTATATCCTCTAACGGATGGTTCTTATGTACTTGTTGTACTTCTGAATTACAACGTATGAAAACATTACAAAATTTTTACAAAACTTGCAGTGAGCCGGGCGCGGTGGCTCACGCCTATAATCCCAGCACTTTGGGAGGCCGAGGCGGGTGGATCACGAGGTCAAGAGATCGAGACCGTCCTGGTCAACATGGTGAAACCCCGTCTCTACCAAAAATACAAAAATTAGCTGGGCATGGTGGTGCATGCCTGTAGTCCCAGCTACTCGGGAGGCTGAGGCAGGAGAATTGCTTGAACCCAGGAGGCGGAGGTTGCGGTGAGCCGAGATCGCGCCATTGCACTCCAGCCTGGGTAACAAGAGCGAAACTCCATCTCAAAAAAAAAAAAAAAAAAAAACTTGCAGTGAAACGTAAAACTGATGCTCCCACCATTTCTAATCCAAAAGAACTTGGTGTACTCATTTTTTTAATGGAAAAAGCAAAATTACCTTGAGTTATTATCAGTGTCCTTGTCACTTGAATAATCTGCTACTATAAAGTTTTAGAGGGTTGGGAATTTATGACTGAAATCCAAATCTGGCCTAAAACTCAAGAAGATGTGGTTGTTTAAAATCTGCCCTTTGCAATACTGAACATTTTAGATGTAAAGGATTTATTAGCACCTGAGTCAAGTGGATAACCAAACTCAAAGCCTAATGAGCTGATCCTCTTTTTTCTGTTTAAGCATTAGTTTGAGAGTATACTTAACTGTGACGTACATAGTAGAGTCCCAGAAGAAAGAACTAACAAATTGAAACAAGTCCTTCAGGGGTCCGTGGATATAACCTGACTCCTTCAGAGACAAAGATCAAGGTGAGAACAACCCAAAATCCCAAAATAAGGATTACTAAATTAAAATAGGCTCTATCATACCCTATTGCTACCACCACATAAAGGACTAAGACTCTAATAGTACTTCAAAGGACTTCAAAGCCATTTTCCTGATGTTCCCAAAAAAATGCTAATCTTTCTGATCTAATTCCTACTTCACAGAAAGGAAAATTGAGAAAGAGAATTTATGGATTCCAGGAAGAGGTTCTACTAGTGGAATATACATTATAGGGCTAATCAAAGCATAAAATAAAAATCAACACATTCCTAAGTAACTACTCACACATATTTCTTTTCCATGGGTAGGTTAGAAGGAATGAAAGTAAGTCAGAAGACAGCAACTTAAATAAGGTTTATTTTTTTTAAAGGTGGTTATTTTTATTTTTTGCAATGCCACGGTTATAGGAGTATATGAAGAGGTAACACATCCCCTTTTCCTTAACCATGCTTTTTCTTTTTTAACCTTCTGCATAAAGGTAAAAGTTTTTGTTAATCTCATAGTTAATGGTATATAAACAGAGGTCGGCAAACTTTTCTTCCAACGGGCCAGGCCAGGTAGTAAATATTTTAGGTTTTGCAGACCACTTGTTTTTTCTTTTATAACTCTTTAAAAATGTAAAAATCATTTTTAGTTTGCACCATACAAAAACAGACTGGGCTAAATTTGGCCCATGGGCAGTAGTTTGCCAACCTCTGGTATAATATATCTACTTTGTTTTGTCAGAGAAATTGCTGTCCTTAGGCTTCTAGACAGTCTGCTGCCTGAAGTCAAGCAGGGAAGGGACTTATTTACAATTTAATGTGGTTTGTGACAAAAGTAGAAATGGGAGAGCTTCTACTCACTTTTGACTTTCCCCATTTTTCCATTCACTCATTAATTCAATAAATGCGTTGAGTATCTAATATGTATACTCTTAAATATCCTGGTGTTAGCAGAGATTTCCAGTGTTTCTTCCTTAAAAGGGTGATTTCTCCAGTTTCTCTAAACCAGGAATTACCATTTCTTAATACTCATGTCTTAGGGAAAAATCAGTATTAAAATCCCTACCAACACTCAAGAGGATACATGATTATAAAAAATGAATCTAGCCAACAATGATATCCTTGTACCCAATGGTGACACATCCTTAAAATATCACAGCCTAGATGAGGAAAAATATGTAACTATCTCTATTTTAAAAGATACCTCTTTTCCTCCCATAAGCTGAAACTTTAATAATAATAAAAAAAAAAAAACAGATCTAGAACATCCCCCAAATATTTTGCTGCCATGTTAACATAAAATCTGGATCCAGATAGGGCTCTTCATTAGCTCTCTATTTCAGCCATAAAACAATACTACATTTACAGCTGAATACTGCCTCCAAAGCAATGTGCATGCCCCCATTTCATTTCAGAGAGGGACTGATGATGTTTCTGCTCCTGGATGAAAACTGCTACCTTTCTGAATCCTCCTACTATTTATCCCAAGTGAGGGAAGACTTCAAAGTGGCCAAAAGGAGCATAGGACTTAAGTATTAAAATATAAAGGTGGCCCCTATTCCAGATCTTTGGTACAGTCATCAACTATAATCTGATTTCCCACGCCACCAAAACATAGCAGATTTTATACTTAGAAGTGATTGTGATTTTCCTTTTGACCATGTAAACAATAAGGGAAATGCCTTGGGAAACTACTTTGCAGTGCACTCTCATTTCTCTTAAATACACAACCAGTTCTCCCTTTGATCAAGTTCCTGGGGGAAAAGAACAGAGTAAGCCAAGGTTATCGCTTCCGCTCCCCTCTCTGTGTCCTTTTCTTTTCTTTTTCCTTGCGCTCCTGCTTGGCTAGTTTATCTCTCTCCCTCTGCAGTTTGTCCTGTTCCTTCTTCCTTTGGGACTCATCCCGAAGCGAGTCTCGCTCCAGTTTTCGGGCATTAAGGACATCTTCCACATTGGTGTTTCGGAACAGAACTACAGGTAAGTTAAGGGAATACAGGTCACACAGATCACAACTACTGCTGTCTTTCCTCATTCTAGCTATCCTCTCTCCACCTGCTGAGTCCTGAATGGTCTCTACCTATTTCTGGTCTTTAAAAAATATGTTTATGTTTATCCTTGATCTAACAGAGAAATCCTTAAAGCTATATTACAAATGTTTTTAAATGTCCTTGGGAATAAAACTCTAATTCAGATTTCTCTAAATCTGAATTTTAAAATATTTTATTGAAAAAAATAAAAAATATTTCATTGAAATGAAATTTCATTCTAGAATAAGTACTTATATCATTCGATGGCAGAATATTAGATAATCTAGGCTAGTTTTGGTGAACAGAGTAGTAATGTAACTGGCCAAATGTTTGTGTACTTGGCACTGTTAAATGCCTGAAAAGTGTTAAATAAGATGTTTAACCTTATTAAACTTTATCAATTTGCTTTTGTTCCTAGACTACCAAAGCTTAAGTGAAAACCATGTTCTAATAACCATAAACACTGAATTTATGAGATAGAAAATGAGAGGTTGGGTGCCATGGCTCACACCTATAATCCCAGCACTTTGGGAGGCCGAGTCGGGCAGATGGCAAGGTCAAGAGATGGAGACCATCCTGACCAACATGGTCAAACCCTGTCTCTACTAAAAATATAAAGCTTAGCTGGGTGTGGTGGCATGCACCTGTAGACCCAGCTACTCGGGAAGTTGAGGCAGTAGAATCACTTGAACCCGGGAGGCAGAGGGTGCAGTGAGCTGAGATCGCGCCACTGCACTCCAACCTGGGCGATAAGAGCAAGACTCCGTCTCAAAAAGATAAATACATAAAATGAAAATGAGTTTAACAGCAGTTAGAAAATACCTAACCAGGCCAGGCGTGGTGACTCACACCTGTAATCCTAACACTGTGAGAGGCTGAGGTGGGTAGATCGCCTGAGGTCAGAAGTTCAACATCAGCCTGGCCAACATGGTGAAACCTGTCTCTACTAAAAATACAAAAATTAGCCAGGCGTGGTAGTACATACCTGTAATCCCGGCTACTTGGGAGACTGAGGCAGGAGAATCGCTTAAATCCAGGAGACAGAAGTTGCAGTGAGCCGAGATTGTACCATTGCACTCTAGCCTGTCCAGCCTGGGCTACAGAATGAGACTCTGTCTCCAAAAAAGAAAAGAAAAGAAAAAATACCTAACCAAAAATTTTACCCCTTATTTCTTATGACTTTAGAAACAAAACCTGTTAATACCAGATAAGGTCTTCTCCTGAGTTAGCAGGACTACATACAGATGTGTATCACAAAGCCTGGCTAATTTTAATTTTTTTTTTTTTTAATAGTAGAGTCAGGGTCTTGCTATGCTGCCAGGCTGGTCTTGAACTCCTGGCCTAAAGTGATCCTCCCACCCCAGCCTCCCAAAGTGCTGGAATTATAGGTGTGAGTCCTTGTGCCCAGCCATCAGCACATATGTTTCAATATGTCCACATTTTTAGCTTAAAGTGTTTGGTGTTTGTGTTCTCCCTCTGACGAATTATAAAATTCTTGAGGGGAAAGATAAAATTTCAACATTATTTATTGAGACAAGGTCTTACTCCCATCACCCAGGCCAGAGTGTAGTGGCAAGATCTTGACTCACTGCAGGCTGGGTTTCCTGGGCTCAGGTGATTCTCCCACCTGTACCTCCCAA